ATCATCATTATAGTGACATATTTTGTTTGATTTTATACCCACCACTGGGAATATGATAAGATACTGTTAGAAATAAAGAAAATCTTGTAGAGCTTATCATCTAAATAGGTAAGGTTGACAAATACAACAGATTCATCAGTTTAGCAGAAAAAAAATGCTGTTATTTTTTCTCTTCTCTTGGTTGTTATAAATCCATGTTTTAAGAACATGTTTATATTAAGGCTTTTAAGCTCCTGTCAGCAGCTAAGAATGAGCTATTTAAGTTGTCAATACTGAAATATCAGAGAATCAGAAAGAGTTGATTAGCTTAATCACTAAGTTACATTATGTTATGTGCTTTCATTTACTTCTAAGACTTATCTGACAAATAAGAAACATCTTAAGTTATTAATGAAGGTTTTATACCACCTCTCTATATAAAATCCACCATGTGCAAGTTGAAAACAAAGAAGAAGGATGAGTAGTTGGAAAATATGGCCTTGGTGACAGAAATGATACCAGAGATCCCATGATAGAACTTTCCAAGACCAATGACTTATTCATTGCAGATACCCTTTCTCAACAACATAAATGATGAGTAAACACATAGAATTGTCCAGATGGAATATATAGAAGAGAAGATGGAGAAGGTCAATACCATCCAGGCCAGAGGCTGACTGCAGAAAACAAAACAAAAAAAAAAAACAATCTCAGTGCTGTTGAGTTAGTTCCAACTCATAGTGACCTCTCCCTGGGTTTCTGAAGCTGTATCTCTAAGGAAGTAGATTGCCCAATCTTCCATCCAAGGAGTGGCTGGCGGGTTTGAACTGCCAGCCTTCTGGTTAGCAGTCAAATGCATCAGGCACTACAGCACCAGAGCTCCTGACTGCAGGAAAAAACATATGCAATTTGAAGTTGAAGCTGAAGAAAATTAAAAAAAAAAAATCCACAAGAGCCAAAATACGACCGTGAGTATACCCTACCTGAACTCAGAAACCATCTTCTTCTTCTTCTTTTTTTTTTTTTTTGTCCTCACGAACCAAAATTTATTGAAGAGAAAGGCAAGGGGGCAGACTCACAAGGGAGAGATGGGAGAGAGAGGCTTTCGCCTACATTAGTCTCTTTAGAGACCTCTTAAAAAGAGTTGACAAATTGAACACCAACGATCAAATGAATTGTGGGACGATATCAAGAACATCATACACAAAGAAAGCAAAAGGTCATTGAAAAGGCAGAAAAGGAAGAAAAGACCAAAATGGATGTCAAAGGAGACTCTAAAAACTTGCTCTTCAATCTAGAGAAGCTAAAGCCAATCTAAGAAACAATGAAGTAAAAGAGCTGAACAGAAGACTTCAAAGGGTCGAAGAAGACAAAGCAGAGAATCACAATGAAATGTGCAAAGAACTGGAGTTACAAATACAAAAAGGGAGAACTTGGAATTGCTCAAGTCAAAAGGATAGAAGAAAAATTCAAGTCTTGAGTTGCAGTATTGAAGGATTCTACAGACGAACATTGAACAATGTAAGAAGCATCAAAAGATGGAAGGAAGACACAGAGTCACTGTACCAGAAAGAATTGGTCAACATTCAATCATTTGAGGAGGCAGCATATGACCAAGAACCAATGGTATTGATGGAAGAAGTTTAAGCTGCACTGAAGGCACTGGTGGAAAACAAGGCTCCAGGAATTGACAAAATACCAACTGAGATGTTTTGACAAATGGGTGAAATGCTAGATGCTCTCATTTATCTATGACAAGAAATTTGGATGACAGCTACCTAGTCAACTGCCTGGAAAAGACTGGTATTTGTGGCCACTCCAAAGAAATTACTGAATGTAGAAATTACTGAATACCATTAATATGACACACATGTAAAATTTTGCTGAAGACAATTAAAAAATGGTTGTAGAAGTGCATCAATAAGGAACTGCCAGAAATACAATCTGTATTTAAAAGAGGATGTGAAATGAAGGATATCATTGGTGATGTCAGGTGGATCTTGGCTGAAAACAGAGAATACCAGAAAGATGTTCACCTGTGTTTTACTGACTATGGAAAGGCATGTGTGTGTGTATCATAACAAATTATGTATGTTGTTGTTGTTATGTGCCGTTGAGTCGGCCCCGACTCATAGTAACCCCTCCTTGGGTTTCCGAGGCAGTATCACTACGGAAGTAGGATTGCCCAACCTTCCTTCCGAGGAGTGGGTGGTGGGTTTGAACCGCCAGCCATCTGGTTAGCAGGCAAGTGTCTTTGCCACTATGTTACCAGAGCTCCCCAAATTATGTATAGCATTGTAAAGAATGGAAATTCCAGAATACTTAATTGTGCTCACATGGAAACCTGTATGTAGACCAAGAAGCAGTCATTTGAACATAACAAGGGGATGAAAAGCAGGAAAGGTATGTGCCATGGCTGTATCATTTCATCATATTTATTCAATCTGTATGCTGAGCAAATAATCAGACTATATGAAGAAGAATGTGATATCAAGATTGGAGGAACAAACTGTGATATGCAGATGACACAACCTTACTTGGTGAAAGTGAAGAGAACTTGAAACATTTCATCAAAGACTATACTTTAACATAAAGAAAACAAAAATCCTCACTACTGGGCCAATAAGCAACATCATAACAAAACAGAGAAGAGAGTGAAATTGTCAAGGATTTCATTTTACTTGAATTCATAATTGACACCCATGGAAGGAGCAGTCAAGAAATCAAACAGAATACTGAATTGGGCTGATCTGCTGCAAAACCTCTTTAAAGTGTTAAAAAGCAAAAATGTTACTTTGAAAATTAACCTCTGCCTGACCCAAGCCATGGTATTTTCAATCATCTCATATGCACGTGAAAGCTGGACAATGAATAAGGAAGACCAAATAAGAACTGATGCCTTTGAATTATGGTGTTGGTAAAGAATACTGAATATACCATGGACTGCCAGAAGAACAAATTAATATTTTTTGGAAGAAGTACAGCCAGAATGCTCCTTAGAAGTGAAGATGACAAGACTTTGTCTCACATACTTTGGACATGTTATCAGGAGGTATCGGTCTGGAGAAATACATCATGCGTGGCATCACTGACTTGGTAGAGTCAGTGAAAGAGAAGACAAGACGACCCTCAGAGATGGACTGACACAGTGGCTGTAACAATAGGCTCAAATATAGCAACTACTGTGAGTATGACTCAATGGCAGTGTGTGTGTCCTTTTTTTTTTTTTGGTGAGGATGAGCAGGACTGAGCAGGGTTTCAATATGTTGCATGCAGATCGCTATGAGGCAGAACTGACTCAATGGCACCTAACAACAACAACAACAACAACAACAACAACAATATATAAAGTAGAGAAGTATTACCAGCTTAAAACAAAATGACATCTTATTAATGTTTAATATAAACCAAAACCAAACTCACTGCTGTTGAGTCAGTCCTGACTCATAGTGACCCCTCCTTGGGTTTCCGAGGCAGTATCTCTATGGAAATAGATTGCCCAGTCTTCCTTCTAAGGAGTGGCTGGTAGGTTTGAACTGCCAGCCTTCTGGTTAGCAGTCAGATGCCTTAGGCGCTATGCCACCAGAGCTCCCAATGTTTAATACGGCGACACACTATTTAGTACACAGTATTATGAAATAAATTGAATGACTGAAAACAAGGAAACAAAAAACCTAATGTTTGCTATAATTAAATTGGGAGGGGAAAATTTAAAAAAGAAGAAAATGAGTTATAAAAGGGTAATGTAAAAAAAAAACTGAGTAAAACTTTATATTGGAATTTCAAAGGAAAAACCAAAGGCTAAATCGTGTGGATGCATAAGAAATTTATAAGATACTCAAAGAAAAAACGTATCAGATTAGCATTTACAGGTTGTTGAAAAACAATGTTTAAAGTATCTTCTTTTCTGAAAAAATATTTAAACTGAGAACAACTTACCCAAGCTCTGTCATGCCGTCTACAAATTCCTTTTTGCTAAATTCACACTGAGTAGCTGCCCTGAACTTCCATGCTATGACCAAAACGCTGATACTGGCAGGATCTAGGCTTAAATCATCACAGAATTGCTGAATCCCATCAATTCCAATTTTATTTTCATCTTGTGGGTCTATAGTTAAAGTTAAGGAGAAAAAATGTTATTATCATTTTGAAAGGTATTACTATAATGGGTGATAAAAATCTACTATATAGTTATAGCAAAAGTGTTTCAAATACATCAATCAATGAACTGCAATTTTCTATTGTATATGAAAGAAACTGTGTGCAAAAAATAATAATATATTCAGAAAATAGTTTTTAATATCTAGATTTCTGAGTTTTCAGGAAAAAAAATCATTAAAACTACTTTGAGAAGACTTCACTATTAAGTAATCATTTATTTTCCCTAAAGCAATAGAATTTTACTCCACTCAAAGGCAAATTGCTAGGAATGATCCTGCAATGGTATTTATAACATGTTAAGATTTTTTTCACAATCCAGCCAAAGCAAAGAACTACTAATTTTTCTTTCAAAGTTACTCATTTGCCAGTTCTAATGCCATTGCACAATAATTAGTTTTTAAGATCATTTAGCTTAGGGTATCGAGTTTAGAAATTAGGCGTCCCCTCCATTTCTAGTTTAGAAATAAAATTTAAAACTTAGCATTTCTCTAACACAAAAAACAATAGTAAAATCTATTAAAAGTATCCCAGCAAGACCTTATCAAATTAGGTCTAGTAAATTCAGACACAGTATAGATATATCATAATGATGTGTAATTGGTTTATATGGTACAAATAGAAAACTTAAAACTACTTGGCTCATATAAAGACTGATAAACTTTCCCCTTCATATAAAATTAAACTTTGGCCATTTAAGTACTAGATGCTGTTTCAGTTGCCTTTGAGTTGATTTCAACTCATGCCTTTGAGTTGATTTCAACCCCATGTGTGCTGAGTAGAACTCTTCCATAGGGTTTTCAAGGCTGTGACCTTTTTGGAGGCAGATTGCCAGGCATGTCTTCTGAGGTGTCTCCAGGTGGGTTCAAACAGCCATACTTTGGGCTAGTAGTTGAACACATAATTGTCTACACACCCAAGGACTCCTAAATACTACATAAACTCAAAACCCACTGCCATTGAGTTCTGACTCATAGCGAATGCCATCAGGTTTCCAAGGCTGTAAATCTTTACGGAAGTAGACTGCGTGGCGTGGCTGGTGGGTTCAAACCACCCACCTTCTGGTTAGCAGCCCAATGTCTTAACCACAGCACCACCAAAGCTCCTTAAATACCATATAAAAAACCAAACCCACTGCCATCAAGTCGAATCTGACTCATAGCAACCCCCACTGGGTTTCCGAGGCAGTAAACCTTTACGAAGTAAATTGCCCAGTCTTGCTTCTGCGGAGTGGCTGGTGGGTTTGAACCACCAACCGTCTGGTTAGCAGTCAGAAGCCTTAGGCACTGTCCCACCAGAGCTCCTTTAAATACCATATACTCCAGAAAAACATGTATATGTTGTTACTGAAGAAAAGTTGATAACATAAATCAAATGAATAGAAAAATAAACATCCCTTCATGTCTATTCTCCTATACTAGGGAGAGAACAAATTTAGCTGTGGAGGTGTGGAACAAAGACTCTACCAAATATTACTACTGATCTTCTCAGTCAATTCTGTTCTCTCAACATTACATATCTTCAGAATAACAGAAAAATTGGTCTACAATGTTCTTTCTTACCTAACAAGCAATCTTGCTAAAAAAAATTCATATACAATATTGGTAATTATTTTAAAGTAATTTTGTAAGTATTCATTTACATATATTAACATGATAACTGGTTATATTTACCTACAGTCTTTGAATGCTGTATTTATTTTTAGTCTAAGATGACTGTATCATATACCTACCTAAAATCACTAGAATTGCATGAATAAAATAAAATGATTAATTAAAATTAAATCATCAGGACTTATAATTCTCACTTATATAAAAACATTTTTAAATGCTTCTGCACATATTTGAATAGCCTTAAAAAATCTGCATAAGTATGACTTACAAAATTAGCTAAAAAAAATTTAGTAAAAAATTTATAAAGTACACTAAAGCTTACTTACAATATTTTTTGAGAACTATAGTAAATACATAGCTGTGATTTTTACCATAGATTATGTTTCTGAACCAAGACTTTAAAAACAAAACGTAATTTTCAATTCATTTTCAGATTAAAACAGATTTACGCAGTTTTGCTGTGTATATTCTCAAGAATAAAATAAATTACACAAAAATATTATATAAACAGTGTTTTAAAATTTAAAAATAAAAAGTAACAAATAGGAATTTAAATCTAAGGAAATTATTCTGTGTGGATCAATACTTGTTTAAATGAGGTTTTATTATTTTTTTAAAGTTTTGGAAATAGAAGATTAACCTTTAAAATAGTTAGAAAAAGCAAAATAAATAAATCAACACTTGAACTGTTGTTGTCTTTACTGATACAATGCAGATTTAACATTTTATATGAAATTTTAAAAGTTGCTGAGTTTTTGAATCTGTATATATTCAATCTGTATATATGTAGATTTATTTTTATAGCACAACGATTGTTTGATAGAAAAGCTCCATTCTAAGTACTAATTTAAATGGAAAAGAAAAAGCTGTCTGTAAACTCTAACACAAAATTTTGTTTGTTAAAAACTTGCCCCAAAGCTTTAAATAACTGTAACTGTTTAAGTGTTAAAACACTACTACACTATTTTAAGACTGATGCTTTACTTCATTTCGGAATTATTTTCATGATTTCATATTGTTCTTTTTATTGTTGAGAACGTACACAGCAGAACATACACCAATTCCACAATTTATACATGTACAATTCAGTGACAGATGAAATTCTTCAAGTTATGCAACAATTCTCACCCTCTTTTTATGAATTAACACAAACTCCCTGCCCCCTAAGCTTCCTACCTAATCTGTAGAGGTGCTGCTGTCAGTTTGATCCCATATTGATAGTGTCTAAAAGAACACATTCTTTACTACTTAAGCTAAACTATTGCTTGATTTTAAGACGACTTCAGGGGATATCTCTGGTTTAAGGTTTAAATCAAAAGATTATGTCAGAGTAATAGTTTTAGCAGTTCACACAGCCTCCACAGTTCCAGAAAAGCTAAATTCCATGAAAAACTGAAATTCTGTTCTGCATTTTCTCCCTTTTGATCAAGATTCTTGAGTCAAAAGTGAAGATTCTTGATCAAGAGTCTGTGATCATAATGTTTAGAAATGGCAGCTGGGCACCATCTAGTTCTTCTGGTCTCATTTGATGTTGTTGTTGTTGTTATTTGCCGTCGAGTGGGCCCTGACTCATAGCGACCCCTCCTTGGGTTTCCAAGGCAGTATCACTACAGAAGTAGGATTGCCCAACCTTCCTTCGGAGGAGTGGCTGGTGGGTTTGAACCGCCAGCCTTCTGGTTAGCAGTCAAATGCCTTAGGCACTATGCTACCAGAGCTCCCAGTCTCATTTGATAGTATTCTTAAACAACCTTCTCACTCACAAATATTTCAGCCTAAACAGATTGCTTGAAAAAAAATACTGTATTAAGAAAGTGTTCTGGTTACCTAGTACCGCTCTGACAAGAATATACCACAAATGGGATGTCTGAACAAATAGCAGTTTTATCCTTACAATTTGGAGGCTTTAAGTCTAAGTTCAAAGTGCCAGGCTCTAGGGGCCGGGTAAAAGCCCCTCATTGGGGTCCAGCTCTGCCTCCTGCTCCTGGCCCACTGGAGCTAGAGGTGTTTCTTCACTCAGACAGCTGCTGGCTGCTGAGGCTGAGAAGCTCCAAGGTTGACAAGTAAAAAGACACAGTCCCAATGTTACCAAACCACATGGCAGGCCATTAACTTAAGTCCATTGTAAGTCCCAAGGTCGGCAGAGCATGGCAGGCTGCTGAGCAACGACACAGCTACATGTAGGGTCCAAGCGTGCCCATAGGCTAGAGACCATTCCCAAGGCTTCTCCTTACATACAAGAAGCAGACCACATCCCAAAGGCAGCTCCTCAGCTGCTTGTGGTAGATCACACCTTGGAGATGATTCCCAGTCTCATCATGGGGAATAACTACCACCAGCTGCCCAGCCACTCAACCAGGCCCAGCCAAGTTGACAAACAAACATAACTACCACAGAAAGACAGCCACTCAGTCTCGGTATAAAGTGTAATGCAATTAATGTTTCCTTCTAACTAGTGATCAAAATATCATACTCACTGAACAGAACAAGTTGAGTGAGAGTTTACTCCCACATAAATTTTTAGACTTCTTTCTTCTCATTGCACCCCTACTCTATCCTGATTAATCATCAGTTTCACTTAAATTGAAGAAATTGGATTTTGAAGTTGAATATCAGGAAGAGAAGGAATATCATCTTGGAGATTTTTTTTGTGTGTGTAAGACATCATAAATTCTAGAAATACAACATTCATTCTGTTATATATATTTTTTAATGTTTACAACTTAAAAGCATTTATTTTGTTTGAATAATTAATATCCTTACCTTTATACTTGTTATAGAGTTGTTCTAGTTTCTTCTTATCTACTGAATTTCTCATGGATTCTTTGTAGAATGAGTCTGGATTTTGGAAGAAGTTGTCTGTTGCCACTTCTAGTTTCCACTCATTCTGCGTTAAACAGTATATAGCAGTTCTTTCGCCAGCCTGCGTAAATGCCATAAACTGGCGGACCTTGTCCTTCTGAGACGATTTAAGCTTATGCTTTGGGATGCAAAAGAAGCAGGAAACCCAATGAAGCTAATCCAGAGGTTTGTTTCAGCATTCTATTACTAATGCCTATATTTAAACTGGATTTATTTTTCTTGTTGGGTGACTCAACTTCACTTCAGAATTACAGGAAGACAAAGCCTTGTTCTTCATCAGTTACAAAGACTGCACAGTCTTCTGAAAATTGAAACGACAGCATCTATATTGTAACAAATATGTAAAGTCTAATCTTTAAAAACTTATGAGAATCAATATTTTATACAAAATACTTTTGATTTCTACCCAGTTCACTTTGCATGAAGTATAACTGGTCCCCCCCCATACACTCTCAGCAAAGTATGTCTCTTTATGAAATACATCTAGCCATCTGATGAAACAAGGAAGGGTAAATGTAGCACAAATCCTTAACATTACCATCATAGGTCTGTCTGCAGAGTCCTCTCTGATTTAAAAGAGGCACTTCAATTAATATCAGGCTCTAATGATTATAAGGAAGCTTCATAGTTTAGATACATTATTAAATGTTTCCAAGTTTAAAATTAACAACCCTTGCCAATGGCCTCAGCAGAACCACACTGATGAAAAGACACACACATAACTAAGAATAGGGTTAACAATAATTTACAAAAGTTCCAAAAGCAGGCACAAAAAAGAATGCCCATTATGACTAAATGAAAATTATAATACTCATAACAAGAATGTCTGTGTATATAAGACATAAATAAAATGAAAAATTAGGGCAGAGGCTCTGGATAGGTAGTAAGTAACAAAACTGCCAATCAACTGTACTATATATAGTATGTAATGAAACAAAATAACATTTTAATATTTCCAGATAAGGATGGCCCAGTTTCTCTTTACTAAGTAACTTTATGAACACACCACCAGAAAAAAAAGTGATTTACTACTTTATATAAATCAAAACAGACTCTATAATGCTAATGTTTTACACATAATATGATAAACAGAAAAATTTTACTGCAAAGAATTTATATTTAACTTTGGTAAAAAAAATGATCTGAAATAATTAATAAAAATACATAGAATAATGTAAAACGTAACTTACAGAAATATACATGAATAATAAGATGTAGGTAAAGAAACTGAGAGAAGGGAAAATGAAAATAAGAAAGCCAGGGATAAGATTAGTATACAGACATGCATACCGATATAAGACCTGAAAGTGGGTAGAAAATTAGGCTCTGAACTTCCTAGCTGCCAAAGCAAAGAAGAAAATATGACAGGAAATTTTGCTTTAATAAGATTAAAAAAAAAAAACCTACCAGTGGCTTAGAAGTGGCACAGCTTCTCCTGGCACTGAAATCTGAAGTAAATGGCTCCTGTGGTTCCTCATGAAAGGGACAATGTGCAATGTTCCTCTTTGTACTGGACAAATTACTCACCAAAATGCCAATAAATAGCAGAGTGAACTTCCAAATTTTTTCTTAAAGCACCCCTCTATGCATGCTGATGCCAAAATACGAGTACAATTCAACATGAGAAGAAAACAATGCAATCCAAACACACAGTTCTCTCAATGTGTGTGGTCTGGAGACCACTTGGGGTTCCTGAAACCTTTCACGGGGGTCCACAATAACAAAACTATTTTCATAATAATTCTAAGACATTATTTGCTTTTTTCACTTCTATTCTCTCATGAGTGTACAGAAGCAGCTTGCAGAGGCTACATGACTTATATCACAACAGGTTCAAAGTACTACATGACTTATCATATCACAACAGGTTCAAAGTAAATTTAAGAATCTTTTATTAAGACAGATATTAAAGAGATTTGTAAAACAAAGTGTAATATAATGGCAAACATGTAATCAGTTCATTGTTATTTTAAAGTGAGTAAATGTATTTTAAAACCTCCTCTCAGTTTCAGTTTCCAATATGATAAATATTTATGAATATAACCCACATAAACAAAAGCTTATTAGTGGGTCAGTAGTAGAATTCTCACCTCTCCTGCAGGAGACCTGGGTTTGAGTTCTAGCCAGTAAACCTCATGCACAGCCACCATTCATCTGTCAGTGGCAGCTTGAGTACTGCTGTGATGCTGAACAGGTTACAGTAGAGCTTCCAAATTAAGACAGACTAGGCAATCTACTTCTGAAATCAGCCAATGAAAACCCTATGGATTACAACTGGTTTGTTTGTTCAACTGTGCATGGAATCACTCTGAGGCAGGGGCTGACTTGACAGCAGTGAACAATGGTAACAAACAAAAGCTCTTTGGGTTCAATAATTTTTAAAAACATGAGTCCTGAGACTGAAAAATTAGATAACTACTTATCTAGCTTAATACAGAGAATGAACATTTTGACTAATAAGGACAATGATTGTTGACCATTTGGGGGCTTTGGATCCCTTCTGAATCTGACAGATCCTCTCTCTGAGAAAAACATGTGGTACACACGTGCATGCAGTTTCCTATAAAACTTCAGCAGCTTCATATACCATTGAAGTCCACTAATGGGTTCTTCAGATGGGGAGAAGATAAGGGAAAAGTAAAACTCAGGTTAAGAATTGATGATCTGGATCAAGGATTAGCAAACTTTTTGTTAAAGGCTCATACAGTAAATATATTAGGCTTGCAGACCAAAAAGTCTCTGCTGCAGATACTCAGCTCAGACATTGTAGAATAAAAGCTATCACAGACAAAGCATAAATGAATGGATAGGGCTATGCATATACTTACAAACTTTATTTATAAAAAACAGCCAGCCAGCTTGTGGCTTATAGCTTACCAATGACTGATGTAGCTTCTAAATTAATATACAGAATGTATCTCCTATATATTATTTCTTGAAATTGAGCTTTTGATAAGAACTACACAAACAGTTCAAGATTATATTCTCTAGCAAGATCAAATATTGCTAAATAATGGCAGATTCTATATGCTTTAACAGTAAGCTAAATAAAAGATAAAGCCAGTATTTATGAAATTGATAGCCACCCTAAAGGGGGAGGAGGTCAAGCCAAGGATTATCTCAAAAACCTTAAGACAGAAACAGATGTGCAATTCCCATAATGGTCTATTGTTAGAGACAGCCATGATAATTTCATTATGGAAAGAGCAATCAATGCTATTTTAAACAATTCTCTCATGGTTGTAAAACAAAATTCAATACAGGACCCTTGGAACTTCTAGGATTACTCAGCAAAGTAACTTCAGTTAATGGAATTATTTGACCAGCATTATACAATTGATAGATCCATGTCAATTAAATGTTGACAGACATCTGGTAGATATAATTAATGTTTGACTTTTAGCTGTTTTTCTTGATTATCATCTCTTGAAGACTCTCCTAATATGTAACAACTGAGGTATAGCAACGGTTTAAAGGAAAATTAAAAAAAAAAAAGAACACTAGAAGAATATATGCAGGAATATATGGATCCAAATAATTCAAAGTGGTTCTGAGTGTTAATCAAAAAATACGCAGAGAAACAAATAGATCCCTCTTCAATCTAACCAAATTGCCCCATCTGTCATAAGACACTCCTAGCAACTTTGAACCTCATGTTAGTACTAAGGTACTGTTTCTGAATGTGCAACTGTGGCTATGGGGTTGAATGGTCTCTGGCCAAAATCAAAAGCAAGGAAATTATCAATAATGTTGCAAAAAAAAAAAAAAGTGTTATCCTTACAGGGTTCTCCATAAAATAACAGAGATTAAAACAATAATCAATAACTAAACCTAAAGACTGCATGCTCTTCATATCCAAAAGTGATGAAGAGACCCAAGATGCAATTTGCAAGAGGGTGTTATAAAGCTTCTTAGAAAAAGAGTCTCATAAACTAAAAAATTATAAGGGAAACGAGATAGCTCCAGGGCCATTTAGACAGGACTAAATCCATATAAAATTAATAAAGGTACATACACTGGCATGATCAAAACTTACTCATCAAGCTCCGAAGACTTTCACTAAGGCTTACCATAACATGAAAGTTATTCAGGGTAGCTTTTAGAGGGGCTGGGAGCAGGGCATTTTCTATGTTTCATTATTTTACTCTGTTAAAATTCAAACAATTCTTAAAATAAAAATCTGGTCCAGCAGAAACATCAAATAAAATTTTTAAACTATGGAAAAAGTTTCAAACATTTTAACTACAACTTTAGAAAAAAATTACTTACATAATGTGGGCACCAAGACTGCCCATATATAAAATAGAAACAATTTCTTTTTAAAATACAATTCCAGAGACATTTAATACAACAAAAATCTCCTGATGTCAATTTACAAGGGGCTGACCATGCAATCATTTTGAGCAAATTAATTACAAAAACTTATTGATCACTTTGACTAGTTTTGGTACACAATCGACTGACGGGGAGGAGCTAAATCCAAATACTCCCTCTTCTACTTTTGGGTCATCAAGTTCCCCAATGACTCTGCAGCATGATAAAGATGCTCAGGTGTTTCCCAAGTAAACAAAAGTTTCTTAACAATGTTGTGTCACCTTTAAGCTCCTGCTCAGCCCATCCCTCTCCTGTTAAGAGCCAAACAATTGAAGATGACAGTCTTTTATTTGCTGAAAGTAACATTTTAACACACTGCAATCTGGCTTCAGCCTCTGCCTCTCTAGTGAAATTGTTCTACTTAGTTCATCAAAAGCCTTCTAGCTGCTAAAGTTGGAATCTCTTTAGCCTCTTTTTATTCAACACCACTGACCACTCCCTCCTCATTTAAACTCTAGCCTCTTGGTATCCATGGCAACATTTTTGTAGTCTTCTTGTTTCTCTCAGTATCCTTTTTGGTTCCTCTTCCCACCCTTGATGTTTTATCCCCATCTCTCTACTCTTTTCTCTACACATTTCTTCCTGGTCTATCATCTCTCTCTCCCGTTTGAAATGCTTTCAATGGCTTCTCATTACTATTAGATCAAAGGCTAAAACTTTCTTAATATGTCCTAAAGGCCCTGTACAGTCTGGCTCTAGTTT